CAGATCCCCTTTTGTTGCCAGTTCAGTGGGTCCAGGTGGTTGAGTATCAGAGTGTTCCATCTCATTTCCCTTTGGTGTTGCTGTAGGTGATCTGGAAGTCTGGTTTTGAGACTTATTTATGTGTTTTCTCATTTTGACTGGGGGAGCAGGGGGGTTCTGTTGGCGACCAGGTGGCTCTCCTCCTCTGAGCTGGGTGAGGTGGGACAGGGGCCAGGAGTGGCGGTAGGGATGGTGACCCAAAAGCCCCTTCCTCTGGGCCAGAAGCAGTGGGACATTTGGTAGCCCAAAAGCCCTTTTCTCTGGACCAGGAGCTGTGGGGCGCCAGCTCAGGAGCCCCTACCTCTGGTCTAGGCAGGAGTTCTTTAAATGCTGAGAACTTGATTAGCTCCAGTATAGTGATCTGGTGTTCCAGTGTCCTCTGTGTCTTTGTAGTGTGGAACCAGGTGGCTGTACAGAGTAAAGGCCAAAGCAGCGGGGGGTCAGGGGGTTCTAGGGTTCTAGTGGATTGTTGCCTGGGTGCGGGCTGATTCGGTGGAGTGCGGGCTGATTCGGTGTGTTCCGGGTGACTCAGAACCTCAGTAGGGTGTGCGCAGACCTGCCTGTCTGCAGCGGGCTGATTCGGCGTCTTCCGCACCACTCGGTGCCTCAGTAGGGCATCTAGGACACTTTTTCACCTGCTCTGACTTGAAAGTTCCCTCTTCTATCTTTGCCCTTCCCTTCTGGGTCACTCACTCCCACAATAGCTATTTGTTAACTTATTCACCCTCCCGGGAGGTTCTAGTTTTCTTAAGGCCTTTTGCAGCGTTTAGCACAGCATCTGGCCCTTAGAGGTGTGCTGTCATGTTGCATGAATGAATAAATGAATGAATGAATGACTCATATTTGCCTCCTCACAGACTATCCTCTAGTCTGAGCCAAACTAAGATAAATCTAAACTGAATTAGCTTCCACAGCAAATCTTCTAAGCAGAAGTTAGAATTCATCAATCTTATCAAACACTGTTGACAGATAACAGGGACAGGAGATAATCCTCAGGAATTCAAAGGTTAAATATTGGGATTTGTCTGGAGAACCCACCAAGAGAAGCATGCAGCGGCTTTCTTTCACAGCACCACAGCATCCCAGGAATCCCATAACCATGATAATGGCACCCACAGCAATCAAGATATTCGCAGCTACAAAGGGGTTGATGTCAGATTTTCCAGAACTGAGAATCTGGAAATAAAGGTGACGTTAATGACAAATTCCTTTCTTTGATGTTTATTTTTATCATGTAATACCGTGTACCTACTACATGTTTTGGGACCTTGAAATACTTCCAAGCAAAATTCTCTCCCCTCCTGGAGCTTCCATTTAGTTGAGATTGCACTTTCCTAAATAATGTTGTCAATTTTAAGTTGTTCTAAAATGACAGGTTATACATTGAATGAAAGAAATGTTATAGTTCTTTTAAAACTATTTTTAAAAGCTTCAAGAGACCCGTACTTTCCTCCTCATGTAATTTTTGGTTCACACATTTTGCATTTTAAATATAAATTACAATTATAAAGCATGTTTGACAGTAACTTAATTCTTTTAATTTTAAAAAAGCTTAAGTTCATCAAAGCACTTAAAGACACAATATGAATAAATCTCAGAATCATTATGTTGAACTTGAGAAGCCATATATAAAAGAGTTAATATTGTATGATTCATGTCATATGAAGTTTAACAGGCAAAATTGTAGTGATAAAAATCAAAGCAGTGTTTGCCTTTGAGCAAAGTAGGAAGGAAGACAGAAATTGACTAAAAAGAGACAGGATGGAAGTTTTATAAGTTAATAAAAATTCTTTGTATTTTGGTTTTTTAAAATGTCCAGTTCCTGAAATTCTGTATGAATCTATCTTCTCATTCCCAGAAGGAACAGTTCTTCAAGAAGCTCATTATTTCATCAACTGTTTGTGATAAGTAATAGGATATTGAGGAAATATTCTAGGACCCTTTATGGTGGGTGGGCTACTCTTCTGGCATAACTCAGTTCTTTCAGCAACACGGGGATGATCTTCATTGCTCTCATAACTCTTAGCCTCAACCTAACCCTGTTGTCCATGAATGTGCAGTAATCAATCACAATTAAAGAGCAAGAACTTGTGCCTATGTTCTACTTGCACTCTGCATCTAGCCCACCTGTCTCCTATACCCTCTACCTAAGGGGCTGTCTCTAGAGAGAGGGCTGGTGCCCCCACTCGCTGAAAGACTCTGCATCCCAGAATCTTCCATGCAACCTGTGGGTCACCACCCTTAACAGGCAGTACAAAAGTAACTGCTGCCTCTACTTAGAATCCTTTTGTCTTGACAACTTTTTAAAATCCACTCATGACCTACAGGAAACCTTTCTGCAACAATAAGTAAGAAGGAATGAGCTGAAAGTATACACGCATTAAAACAAACATCTTTATTTTTCTCAGAGTCCTAGAAATAACTAAGGTCTGTAACCCGAGGATAGCTAGTGGACCTGTCCAGCCCCAGCTGTCCATTTATAAAGAGAAGTGGGTCAGCTCTGTGTTTTCTGTAGCCTCCTTTGTCTCTACCACTCTGTGCTAACAGACAATGTTTCAATTTACATATTTCAAAAGTTGGGTAAGTCCTAAAGATTTTTGTATGTTTAGCAGATATTTGTATTTGTTTTATCATTGAGATCGAGCTAAGAAATCCCCATTGTTAGTAAACAGGCATGACATCCAGGTTAAAATAGATGTGACATAAAAGCAGCCTTAGGAAAGCAGCTCTGTCAACGCACTGCTAAATACAACGTTCACAAGAACATTGCAGCCAGTACAGGCAAACTCTAGGGCCTCAGAGAGGGTAGACAACATTCTTGCTGGCTTATCAGGACTTCAGATAAGATAGCTAGTCCAGACAGAAATAATAGATCAAATGTCTACACAGGAGGCCTGAGTAGTGCAGTTGACCCGAGGACAGCAACCAATGAGATGCTTTGGTGAGACTGACCGGGACAGGGGAACCCACTGACAGCAACTGACCAGAAAGCTGTGTGTGAACTGCCTGGCAGGCACTGTTCCAAGTCCAGCCCAATAAATGGCTATTCTTACGGAAGAATGAAGAGAAATTCTGAGTTCAGATGTTTGCTCCAGCACAGACACAGCAGGATTTTAAAGGTTGTTTTGAGTGAACACTAAGTCTCTATGCATCTAAGAGAAGGGGAGAATATCTAAAGAAAAGAGACTGTGAGGCCTGAAAGGATTCCAGAATTATTTTTGAATTGGAAGGACTCTCCTGGGGCAAAGATGGCCTCCCATATGCTTTGCCTCCTGGTGCAGAGTTTATCTTCAAGGAGAAAAAGTGTCCCTCTGAGACACTTTAGCAGAAAGAGATAACTCCCTGACATCCTTTTCTGCCTTTATGCTCATGTTTTCCCTTCTAAAGCTGCTACCTCTATTTTTCCAGTAATGAAATTCAGCTCTTCTCTCAGTTTTGATTTTTCTTGTCAATAACTTCAGAAAAATATAAGTCAAGCCAATTTCATATAAGTCAGGCTTGTTCATGACAAGAGGCAGACACCACACAAGTCAAAATATAGCTAAAGATGCTGTCTAGCTCCATATACTCATTCCTATCCCAGATGTGGAGTCACACCCTCTCAAGGACAACAGTTCTCCTTTAATATGTTCACAGTGTGCAATTTCTTAACAGACTAAACGCCAAATTTGTTTGCAAAATATGCTAGAGAGAAAGAAAATATCAACCAGAAATAAACGAATGAAATAAAATAAAATTCAGCCTGCACACACATCTTTAAAAGGCCAAAGCACCCAAGAATTAGTGGCTGTTATCGCTCTGCTTAATTAGGAGTCCCAAAATCAGTCCAAGATTCTATGCACCTTCACCCCTCCTTGAATCCAAATATCAGAGCCCTCAGCCATTAGGAAGTCACAGTTTATTAATATAAATAATAAGTGTATCTCAGAGAAACTCATAAGTTACAGATTACTTGCCAAACCCAGTTTATTTATCTAGCATAAAATGAGGAAGCAGCTAACTTTCTCTAAGACTCTGGATTCTCTTGTGGAATAGGGGGAGATTAATTTCTAGAAAACCCAAGCACTTTAGGAAAGGAAACCAAACAGATGTTAATTTGTTTTTAATCTTTCTTCCCACTAGGCTGCCTCCAAAGGCATTTAGCTGCACCGTGGTACACTATAGTAAGTTCTAAAAGAAAATGTATTGTCTTCATTGTTGGCTTAATATTATCTTTATAATTATCAAAAAAGAATCAAACCTCTTCTTAAGAGAGAAAAACTGTCTTCATTTGGGCAGAGCCTTTGAAAAGCCTGTAGCAATAGAATATATGATTCTGAATAGTGACGAGAGCCTAAACAACCAACAAGAACAAGTAAACCACTCTGTATGAGGTAGAAATAATAATTTTGGAGCAGAGCCACTGCTGAAAAAGGGAAGAGAGAAAAGAATGGAAGCAAGGGAGCTGAGAGATGGTGCTGCATAGCATTATATTGGGAAGACTGACAGAACAACTGGCCCACACACTCACACCTTTCCCTTCCCTTCCATATTTGTGACACTATGGTGTGGAAGAAAAATAACACATGTGGCGCCCAAAGGCTGGAGCCAAAACTCATTCTATGAATTAAACTTCTTCCAAAACTGTGGAAATATTGGTAAAAGCTTTGCTCTTGGGCATGGAATAGAGTGCGGGGGAGAAATGGGTCGTGTTAATCTTACACAGATAGCAAGAAGCTGGGTCATCCCCTGTAAACTGGAGGGAGAGTTACCCTAGCATGATCAGCAGTTATTGAAAGGCTTTCCTTTAATTCTGGTTGCTACAGGCAAATCTATCCTTGAATTTTGCTACCTTTAAAACATAAAAGACTTTGTCTGATTTTTAGATTCATATTCTTTACCAAGAAAATTTCTCACCTTTTTTTCTTTTGGATCAGCCACATTAAGATCATCTAATTTATAGTCAATACCTTATATTATAAAAATTATTTTTCTTGGAGAGAGGAGGTTATCTTTTTCCTCAAACCACCTTTAAACAAATAATGAAGGAGGCAAATTTCCACTCTCATCAAAATCTTGCTGGTTTTGAGATAATCCTCCTCTGTTCTCCAGAATGATTGTTCCTTGCCTAGCACAATGTCAGACATATAATAAATAATTATTAACTCACATGCCATCACGAACAATTACATGAGGCAGTTAAGAAAAATGCTATAGAATGGTGTATTTTTATTATTGTCATTACTTTCATTGTTATGAGAGAAATGAACTACTTTATTTATCCATTTATATATTTACCTCATTGCCATCTTTGCTTACTCGTATCCATATTGCTATTCCCAGGATCAAAGTACCACATAGCTGCAGAAGAAAAACAAACAATTTCAGAGTACAATTAAGATAAAATAAAACGTTAATGTCACATACCCCTTCTATCTGGTTGTAATAGTTTATCATTAACTATTCTGTTACAGTATGACAGACATAAATGAGGTACATTCATGTACAGATAATTGCTGAATTGTTGCACTGTAATTCATAAGTTTGATAAGAGTAACTGCTTCTCATCCACAGTCCATTTATAGGCCTATAGACAAGAACCTATCTTCACAAGGCAGGAAAAGATTATTTCTCATGATTTTAATTGTATTTTTTAAGCTATATTATAGCATACATAAGGTAAGTCAAAATAGTTTAAAGAGAAAATATCCTTAGTATGACCCTTGGTTGATCTCGGAGAAGCTATTCTGGACCAAGAGGGAAGGGAATAACTGACTAATCACCAATAAGTCCTTGAAGATTCAAGAGGCAGATTGAATTTGGATTCCACAGAAAACAACAGGGTACTGGATAAAATGTGCAATTAAGCAACAAGGGAATTTAATAACCAATGTTTTTGAACTAAAACTAAGTTCTTTTAGGTGGTAAAGTTTAGCTAGAGCGAAGAAACAATGGAAACCAGTATTTAAAGTCTTAAATTCGTTTAATGACTTTACCAGATTATTTAATTTGGGTCAAGGCCAACACGAAAAATGCAAAATACATTTTGCTTTAGTGTAAGGAAAGCTCTTGTCTTTCAGGGTTAAAAAAAAGATATATATTGTAGGCTGGAAAAAAATCGAAGATATATTATTAGATAGATATGCTGAGAGCACTCTGGTAACATATGGACTTTCTAGATGTTTCTAATCTTTTTTTTTCATTAAGTTTATTGGTACATTTTAGGTATAAAATACACTTACATTCATCATTGGGATCTTGTACCTTTACATGATGTATCTTAATTCTTATTTTTCCCCATTTCCCTGCCCTCCCTTCACCCGCTCCACCCTTCCCTATTTACAGTCTTTGTTTCCATTTTTTCCTTTTCTCATATTTTTTCTTTTCCCTTCTTTCCTTTTCCCTACCCTTCCCACTTCCCTAGCTCCTTTAGACCCTTTCTTCCAATTTCACGTTATCAATTATGTCATTTGAACCTTATTTATACTTTTAGTTTTTCACACCAGAGAAACTATTCAGTATGTTTCTAATCTTTCCATTCTCTGACACAGAAATGTCTGAGTCCTCCAAAAGCCAGTAACCTTTCAGTGTCATAGCCTTCAGGCATGATTGAGCTGCTGCCCAGAACTCCCTTCCCCAGCAGCACTTTTAGTAGTTTCTCATTATGTTTGCAGTAGAAATAAGCCCAAGAGCTTTGTAAAGAGTCAGGAGTACAATGGATAGCTAAATAGCCATAAAATCTGGACTCCATAAAAGACCTCAAAAATCATCTATGTCTTCCTAAACTCTTCCTTTGGGATTTTTTAAAAAATTGGAATCCTGAGAGATTATAGTCAAATCTATAAAATTTAGGGCAATTCCTAATCAATCTGCCCTTACTAAGCATAGAATTCATCTTCCTCAGAATAATTTCTATTATTCTATTTACAATTTCTGTTGGTCTCCTCTGTCCCTCTCCCTTCCTCCTCCCTTCCTCTCTTTCTCTCTCTCTCTCTCTCTCTCTCTCTCTCTCTCTCTCTCTCTCTCTCTCTCTAAAACACAAACTATTAAACAAGACAGCTTTGGAGCTTGAAGACCTCTCTTAAGTCTCCACTCCTACCTCCTTCCACTAAGTCCCTAATTTCACTTTCAAATGGAGACAGATGTTCATTTTAGCAGTTCTTTGTCAATAAATCTGTAAGAATTTATGTCAAGTGATATTGAGATGCACCAGGATTTTCAGTAATTTAATACCAATTAGATTTATTGCTGTTATTTGACTTGCTTATTTATATTTTCTCTTTTTCTTCTCTTTTAATGGGTAGATTTATAGTAATTTTTCTTAATAGTTGCTCTGGCCTTTACCTTTACTGACAATAATATTAATTGTCCTAGTAGGTATTGTGATTACCAATGTTTTGTGGCATTTATCACACTGAAAGATAACCTTAAAACGTCTCAGAAAGTATATTAAACTTTTTGAAATTTTAACTTTTTGTCTATATATTATTATTTATTTCATGGTTTCAAAGTATTTAGAAATTAAATGGTATGTGGATCTTATGAAGTTAGTCACATCTGTCCCTCAAATGACAACTTTTAATCTTCTAAGCTCCTGAGCACTGTCTGTAACGTGAAAGAAAGAGCACCACCCATTTGATTCAGAAGTCAAGAATATTTGCCCAGGGGCCGGGGGTTTAGCTCAGTGGTTCCGCCGCCGCCTGCCTTGCAAGCGGAAGGATCCGAGTTCAATCCCCGGTACCAAAAAAAAAAAAAAAAAAAAAAAAAAAATTAAGTTAAAAAAAATGAATATTTGCCCAATTTCAATCTTCACAGTTAGACAAAATTCTTTTAGGGATAGTGAAATTAGCTAAACTCTGATTTCCTTTCCTATTTCTCTCCTTATTTTTCAAATTTCATCATAAAAATGAAAAGAAACAAGTCCTTAAAATATATTATTTTCATCTTGTTGGAGAAATTTAGTCTTAATACAAAATTAGTTTTCCTAATGTTTACCTACCCATAGATATCTTCTCACATTGTGGCAGAGCACTTTCATGTACGTGCAAAATATAATTTTAGCACCACATATTTCCACATATACATTTGACTATTGTTTTTGTTCTATGTATTTTGTGTTGTTCAAGAAAATCATTTATTTTGGATTTTCATTATCTGTACTCTGTATCTATCATCTTACTTCACATTATTTTTATTTCTGTATCAATGGCTCTAACGTGCTAGCTACAGTGCATTTTAATTCTGCTGTTGAGTTTCTAGTTTATATTAAGTCTTTGCTTATCTATTTCCTTTTTCAACTCATTCTAAGATATTCTGATTAAATTTATCATGTCTTATGGCCTCCAACCACTGTTTCATGGATGGGCATGGAGGTTATTTTCAGGCATCACTTTGCGGACACCAATTTCCAGATACTTTTTTCAGGACTCTGAAGCGTTTTTCGTCAGAGATGTATGTCTGTCCGATAAGTTTTCAGAGTGATATTATCTTTCATTTACTCAACAGTATTTCTTACTAGGCCTTGAGCTAAATTTTCCTTTATTCCTCTTTGAATAGGATGAGGCCTATTTTGAAACATTATTTAATAAGGACGGAATAGTTGCTTTGTTCCACTTTCTAATGAAATGGATTAATGTAATTCTAAGATCTCCTAGGAGAGGAGAGATTGCTATGCATTCTCTTTACAGATGTGGGCTAAAGCAACTCTGATTTACTTAGATGGTCTCTATCCTTCCTGTATTGATTTCCTAATGCTCTGAACCAGTGAGGTGAATTACAGTCTTCACACTGCTGTCATGAGTATTTTTCCTTAACTTCTATCGCTTGTGTCTAGCTGTCCCCGCAAAGCCTCATGCAATCGTAGATGGGGCTTCTTCAGAGTGGCTGGATCTAGAGTCCGTGATGCTGGGACTGGTTCATGGTGCAATGCTAGGATCAAGGGCACTAGGCTTAAGGGTGTGAGTGCTATTTGCCCTAAATAGCCTGAATAAAATATAAGTGCTAGAAAGAGCTGTGGTCATCCCTTGCTTATTTTGCGACCTTCTGCCCACCATGAACTGTTTCTCTTCTGCTATATATCTGTCTGCCATGCCACCTTACCTTGGAGCCAGCCAATTATGGACTGAAACCCCTACAAATTGTGAGCTAAATAAGCTTTTCCTCCTTTAACTTTAGGTGTCAGGTATTTTGTCTCAGCAATGAAAAAAGTAATTAAAACAACTTCAGCTCCAAATGAATGTTTATTGCATCGATGAGTATTAAGTACACAGTATACGTGTTCCTGTGGGTTTCATTTATATGCATTTTCTAGGTCCATTAAATAAATCAAGCAACCAGTAAAATTGATGCAAATTCTATTCTTCAGTAACTCAAAATTTATAGAGAAAAATAAGTCACCCTTCTTTTTGAAATAAATTGGTCCTAGTAAACACTAAATCATTAAAATTCAGATAACTTCAAAATATGTGAAGAGAAATGAATGTTCAGCATTTTCTCTGCATTCTAATGTTTTGTGAATCATAACATGATGCAATTTCATTACATTGTTTCAAAAGCATAACTGCCATATAACAACACCTGTAGGCTTCCAAATACACTTGAAGAACCTGGGGCAAGAATACAAATTACAGACCACAGACCTTAGGTCTCTATTTTGAGAAATTGAAAGTCAGAATAATGAGCACAGAAAAGTGTGTTCTCTTTGCCTACCTTTAAAAAAAAATGTGCCTGGTGAAGGACTTGGAACACAAGGTTTGCTTTAGAATTCTTAGATTCCTCAAATTTGCATACCAGAAGGGAGTGGCACGCAGTCAGTCAACTGCAGTCCCCTTCTCACTGTTTCTTCAGTTTTGAATTCTCTATGGGACTTCACAGAAATGGGTGTGGATGCCTCAGCCTCAGCGTAAAAACCAAGTTCAGTCTGCTATCTGCTTCCATTTCTAGCAAACAGCTTGCCATGATCTGTCTTGGGAAAGAGCCCATTTAGTCCCTGCAAGCTGGTATGAAGCCATTTGGGCAGGGAAACTTGGGGTCTTGGTGCCCAAAGTGAAATCCAGCTTTGCGATGGCTATATTCCCTCTATGCCCCACAGATTCCTTACTCTGTGTGGAAAAAGGAGGGTCAGAGCAGGGTAAAAATTTATATCTGTTTTTAAGTCCGCTATGTAAAAAGTAGGACCATACCTGATTCAATAATTTTAAATTAAAAAGCAATGTGATTATTAGAATCAGAAAATACTATTAATTGAACTGGTATGTCAGTCCTTGGTTATGGACTTTTCTAAAGTATTTCAGTTCATTTTTATAGTTAATCCTTCTAGACAAGATTATCTTCATTTTACAAAAGCAGAGACTGGGCACAAGAAAAGTCAATAGAAATATTCTAGATCTCAAACAATTAAGAAGTAGATTCAGGATTTGAACCTCTAGCAGTATGAACTCACTTTTCCATACCTTTAACTTATAGTAGAATAATTCCTGTCTTATTATAATTCTTTACATCTTATTTTCTTCTTTTCAAAATTCTTTTTCAAAGAATTCTTTGAAATTCTTTTTCAAAACCCAACATTGAAAACTTTTCAACACTAAGTGGAGTAGCTTCATATTTCTGTCTCATAAAATGCCCATACAATACGGATTGAAATATCTTTTTCTTTTTTGTTAGTCGAATTCTCAGTTTCTTATGTGTATTAACTCCTTTAATCATCACAACAGCCCTCAGGTGGTAGATAGTACTGCTATCCTTATTTTACAGATGAACAGTAAAGCAAAGAGAGCCTAACAAATTTCTTCAAGGGAGCACAGGTAGGGATGAAGGAGCTGATGTTCAGACTGAACTCTCAATATCTTTTGTCATTGTCATAGTTCAACCAACATGAATTGCATAATGAGATGCAACCTCTGTATTTGCAAAGTTCATACATTTCAATCATTGTTTCATCTTTATCTTGGGCATCTAATTAATTGATAGAATAAAGTATAATTATGTCCTATAATTTTTATTGCACCCCCGTCTCAGAGTTATGCTTGTCTTCCCTCCAATTTTTAGTTACTCTCAGCACATCCAATCTAGAGGCCCAAGCATCCCTTAAAATATAATGATGAACAATGAAATGCTGGCTGCTAGATCTGTGCCATGTTCTATCTTCTCTCTTCAAACACCTTTATGGATGAACTTCCTCCAGTTGCTGACACATTCGGCTTTATAGCTTGGCTCCATCTCACCTTTCCTCATTTGGGATTGGTAATGTCAGCTCACTCTGCTTTTCCCCATTAACAGATCTCCTTGCCATCTCTCTGTCTCTGCTCCTTATTACATAGCACATCTCCTGGCCAAAGGCCCTGTGTTTCCTGTTTATTCAGACTCCTCCAAAACTCTAAGTAATTATAATACTTCCAAGCCTGTCCTATATGAGAAGAACATAAGGAAAATTGGGATTTTATCTGTTTTTTAGACAAAATAGGCTTTAAAACTTATTACCTCTAGAACCTCAAATTTTCTAATTTGTAGCTAACTCTAGCATGAGTGGTTAGGAATGATTGTCACATTTACATGTTTTTGTTCAATTAGTAATTCTAACAAGTGCAAATCACTGCATATTTAGGTGGCAGATCTCACCCAAAGAAACTAGTATGTTTAGATTAAATGACTATAAGAATATCTTAGAGATATCACAACATCTGGCCCTACTTTGCAAAAACCTAATTTTGCAAGTTATACCAGAAAGAAAGCATTTGAAAACATAAGGCCATGGATATGGACAAGAAAACCACATCAGTGGGACCCATTAAAATTTTTGCTTAAGTAAACATTAAGAATGTGACAACTGCTGATTTCCTATGAAGGGTCATAAAATTCCAGCTGTGAGCTTTGGCTTAGGGGTAGACTAGAAAGTAGAAATAGGCGCATTCTCTAACCTCTGAGATTCCTCCTGTTAGCCAGTTTTGATTTAAAAAATTGATGTCACATGTTGACTAAGAAGTTACCACTGAATCTTTATAACTGTTGTTCGCACTGAAACACCCCATTCAAGATCTCTTATATAGAGGTTGTAGGTCCCCAAACACATACTGAGAAGAAGGACCACTGAAGGAAGTTAGAACTACCTAACTGAAATCTACAGCAGCAGAAAGACTTTGTGTTATCAGAGAAACAGATAATGGTAACCACAAAATAATCAGAGTTCCCTAGAAAAGCCACAGTAATGTCTGGGTACAGCATGGCACAGATCTTTACAGTTGACATTGAACCTTAATCTTAAATATGTGATCTTGAATCTATGACCCCTTTCCTAGGTCATCTTTATCATTTTGGTTTAAAATTCAAATTGATTACACATTCCTGATTAAACGAAAGATTTCTTCACTGTCTCTATCAGCACCTCGCAAAAGTGACAGATCACATGTTCCCTGATGAAAGCACCTCTGATGTATTCACAAAGGCTAGTGGCACTTCACAGGTTGCTTTTATATGACAAGGGTATATTTTAACTCTTTTGTAGTTTGAAAATTGTTTAGGTACTTCAGGACATCTTACTGAAATAGGAGCTACTCATTTATTAGTATATTAATATTTGGGTTTGTTTAAATGGACCATATATAATCTGTATCCTAGAAAGGAGACAGTGGCTGCAGTTCTTTAAAGTCAAGTATCCGGACTTGTTGGAAAAATAACTGATTCCAGGTCTGAGCTGGGACTAGGCAAGTGAGCCTGGAACATCTTGTCATACGAAATAGTGAAGAAGTTTTCAAAGTTTTTAGAATTGTGCCAAAAGCCAACTTGAAGATCTATTGGCCAAAGGTGAACTAAATTGTACATCAATAAGGTTAAGAACTACAATGGAGTTTATCTTTTCATAAGGATACCTAAAGAAATACTAGTTTATCACTGTTCAATGACACTAGAAAATTCATTACTTTGAAGTCTGGTAAGTAAAAAGTAAGAAGTATTTATGCTAATACATATGCTGTTTATGCTAATATGCTATATGACATTTATCACATATAACAACTTATGATATATATGTATATATACTGGATACCAGTGGCAACCAAACATTGAATCAGTAAGTGAGAATTTTCTCCTTATTGAAAGTATTCCAGGTAATGTGTGAAGAAAGATTAATAGAACTAGAAAATCACTAGTTTGAACCTCTTAATGAACTAAAAATGGATTTAATTACTTAAGAATCATCCCAAAAAGTGACACGTGTGGTGCCTCTTGGCCTTTGAAGAAAGAGGATAAAACCACTTATGAAGTTATTGTACAAAAAAAGCCTAAATTTTATCAAACTGCTCAATGCAAACGCTAACTTACAGATAACACAGGGGACAGAGAAACACATTAAATTACACCTTAAACACAGAAATAGCAAAGTCCAGACTACAGAAAATGTAATAAAACAAAAATCACATGCCACTACAGAAAATTTCAAGGGCAGGGAGATGAAGTCAAAAAGAGAACCTACAGTTTAAAATTGACATAAAAGGTGTATCAACCCATCACAATGTGTGAACTTGCTTCAGATTTTAATTCAAGGTGAAACATTTATGAGGTAATTGAGAAATTTGAACCCTGTATGGTTAGTTTATAACTGACCAAAAAATTTTTATGTTTTTAATATGTGATAATGACATTAAGGTTACATTTTTAGAAGTTTTATTACCTTTCAAGAACATATACTAAAATATTTACAAGTGAAATGATACATTGGAGATTTGCTTCAAAATAGCATGGGTAGAAGAATGAATGAGAGTATGGACAGAGAAAGATTGACTGGGGATGGGACTGATTACCCTATTTTGTCTTCTTTTGTGAGTGTTGGAAATTTTCCATAAGAATAAACTAAAAACAAAACCTAGATAAAGATCATGGACATTTCTTTTTTATATTCTACTCCAAATGTTTCAAATATTTCAAGGAAAGAAATTTATCAAGACTAACTTTAAAAAACTGGCATATATTTATGAGTTTCATTTAATACCTTCAAAAGCAGCCCATTTCTCTAGGGAAAAGAAAAAACATACCAAGAACAAAACTTTTATTTTAGTTATAGCTCACTTATTTAATTCACTAGTATGTCATCTGTACTCATTAGGTTCCTGACCATTCCATGGAAAGTTGTTTTATACAATAAAACTATATTTATGCAGTTAAGTTTAATTAAATCCATCATTATTTTAACAGGATAAGAATTTATCATCATATAAATGCCAGCTATCTGTTTACCAAAGGGAATTGGGTTCAAAAGCTAAACTGAAATTCTTTCCTATTTATACTGCATAAGCTATTTTTCAATCCAGAGTACAAAATGATATTTTTCATTTAAGCTGATTTACTTTTAAATCATTTAAACTGATTTACTTTCAAAGTCTTTAACTGTACCATGTATACTAAAAAATGAAAAGGCCTACATCCTAACATCAGCCTGCCCTTTTCATACTTCATTTTTGCATTTTCCAGTATTAGATGCTACTTTCAATTATTTGCTATATCCATGTCTATGGTCTTTTAAGAAATATAAGTTGCTAAATACAAGCCTTGTTCATTAAAAGGTGGGTTGATGACACATCAAAATACTGACTTTAAAATGCCAATAAATATTCACTGGCTTAGTTTAATCATATGATTAAATAATTTCATTGTTTTCCTCTCAAGTTTCTCATGACCCTGTTTGTTTGGGTCTGGGAACTCTGCAAAGGAACCTTTTCTCATGTCTTTATTGTCTCAGGACCCACCAGTCACCTGTTTAGACCCAGAGCTGAAGGGAAGGACTCTGGGGCCCGACTGTGGCTGAATCAGACTGTTTCCCCACAGAGCTCTGAAACAGAGGAGCTCTGGTAGATATACAACTAAGAGTAATTGTTCTTTCATTAAGGTTTTTTTTTTCTCTGTGATTGTTTTTGCAACAATATCAAAACATTTATGAAATGTTTATCCTCACAGATCCTGAAGTACACTTTCTTGAGTCATTGGCTTATTTTCAATTACTGAAACAACCAAAGAAAAAGCAAACAAATCCAAACAAGTAAATGGAAAATACATTTTCTTCCTCATTCTATTTCTCCAGTGTAGAATCTGTTCTTGCTTATGATATTTATATCAAGATCCCCTTTCTTGCATAAAATTGATTTAAAAAAAACACTTACCCAGAACAAGAAGTTGAAGATAAACATAGAATATTTTAGACAGCCACTCACACCTGCCATTTCAGAAAAAGAGCAGTAATCCAGGTGCTGAGAATTCAACTATTCCTTACAGGGTTGTCCTGAAATGTGCTCTGGAGTAATTTGCCTGCAGAGCCTCCTGTGCCCACAGCTTCAGAGCGGAAATAGAAAGCAAAGAACTAGACAGGGGAAAAATCAGTTAGAAAAATGGATGAAAAATTAACCCACACATTTAAATATCACAAAGGCTATCTCCAGGCATGTACGTCCTTTTGCTTGTCATGGCTCCTGGGCCACTGGGCCAGGATATTTATGATCCTTCCTCAAAAACTACCTCCTCTAAAGTAAACAGATATCAAGTTAAGGGAGTGGTGCTGGGCAATTCAGAGAATGGCACAGCCAGATAGGAGGTGGTTAGTCTTGAGAAATAACAGCCTGATTTTCCTGCCCTCTATTTTCACCATAGAGAAATAAGGCTGTTTTGTTCTCAGGTAAAGGGACATTGTGTCTCGACTCGTTTGTGCACTGTATTTTGTTAAAACAAAATTTATTCCAGTACAATAAAACACATTTAGAAATCTGCAAAATCTCTAGCCTTAGGCACAGAAACCTCTTATCATTAAACTTGGATAGTGAAACAACTATTGTCTACCTGCCTCCCAAAGCAAAGTTTCTTCTCAAAACATTTCCAGAGTTGCCATAAACGCACCACGGTTGCAGAAAGTAGAGAAGGAGGAGCAGCTTTTTCTATCTTGCTAAGAGCATTTCATTTTTATCTCCATTACTTTATGATGTGAAAAGAAAAATATTTTCTGGAGTCACTCTCTGACTGCCCCCATCCTTATACTGTGTGGCCGTTTTGATAACTTGGTTTGTTTTTAAGGTGGTGTTCTGTGCTGTTTCTGATAAATTACATGTAGCAACAGCTCCATTTCACCAAATCGATTTCTAGATTCCTGATCCTCTCAGAAAAAAAGTCTAAAATGGGAAAGTGCTCATGGATTAATAACCATAGATTATACAATTAGTTTCTAGTGCTAAATAGAAGGCAATTGTCCCCAGGTAAAAGCAACATTCTCTGACCTAACCAGGAAGGTGTGGACTGCTTTGTATAAACAAACTGGGTCATACTGCTTTGCACATCCTGCCTCTCAACTGGAGTTCTCCCCTACCCCCAATAAAAGAACCCTGTACTTCAAAATGTTGTTGGGAAAATAATTCTTAAAAAAAATTATTAAATTATATACAATAAGTGAGCCTGGACTTCTTCCAAAAGAATATTTTTCTAATTTTCACTGATAGACAATCCCACTCAGTAAGCATAAACAGCATATTTAATGTATTGCTAGGAATAATGTTTAATGTTAAAAGCCAAATTTAGAATTAGTTCCAAAAATAATAACAATATTTAACTCATCACTACTGTTGCTGGTGCTTTGTACTGTTTCCTCCTAGAAAATGGAAATACTTTCATAAATTTATACTGAGATACTAGTGTCTAAAGGATAATCTACAGTTGAAAAGACTTTTAGATTGAATAAAAAATAAATTTATAATCCTCAAAATGATTATTTATCATAGAGAAGTAAGATCAAAAGAAATACTGCTCTGTTGACAAATATGTATTACATACTCACTTCACTTCAGTTTGGAACTGACTTTCTGGTAGATACTGAATTCCCTCTAAAAGGAATGTAGTCTTTAGTTAAATCATTCTTGCACCCTGAAACACAATCAGTGGGTGTGTTTGGACAGGAAAATGACTCTGTGTGATAGAACTCCCAGTCTAATTCAGAACCAATACAACAATACTGTGCACTTCTGCAAATTTCTATTCCAATAAATGTTAAATTTTTGCAGGACTTTCCCAAATTAAATACTGTAATGTGATTTATGATATTTCGCTTTCTTTCTTGCCTCATAGGTAATCATTCCCTGGGGTCTGTCAAGGTCCTTAATTTCTTCCATATCTGTTCCTTTCATTTCATCTTTTGGCTGTCATTGTCCAGTCTTTTGTCATCTCCAACTTGAGCCCTTTCAATAGAAACATAGTGTCCCTGCCAGTCTCTTCCCCTGTCCCCAAGCACTCCAGATTTCTTTCTTCTTTTCTCTCTTTCTTTCTTTCTTTCTTTCTTTCTTTCTTTCTTTCTTTCAGACTTGCCTTGCACTCACTATGTAGCACAGGCTGCCTTGAACTCATGCAGCTCCTTCTGCCTCAGAGTACTAGGATTACAAGCATGTGCCACAAGGGCTGGCTCAAAATTCATTTTTTAAACAGCTATTGGTCATGTAAGTGCCCTGATTAAAAACCAGCCTAATGATGGCTTCTTGTTATCCATAGTATAAATTTCAGACTTCTTAGGGTGGTACGAAACACATTGCAACCACCGTGAAGGACTCTTTTGCTCCTTTTATCCTGTGACAACTTCCACTCCTAGAAGAGTAACCACAGAATTGGTTCACATGCCTAGAGCATGCCTCTGGGTCATTGTTCCTTCTTCCTGGAATATTCTTTCCCACCTTCTATATCTGGTGGATTATTGCAAACATCACTCAGTGCTCACTTCCAATGGCACTTTACCCATGGAGCCCTCTCGTCCTCATCCACTGCCCTCACTGTCTGAGCAGACTTACTTGTTTCTCAGTTTTCATGTCCATTGTGACCTGAGAAAACCTTTACTCTACAAATGCCACCTTATATCCATTTGTATCTCTTCTGATTTGATCTTTTATGCCCAAAGGTAGAAATCCTGGCTTCTCCTCTCTGTATCTCCAGCATCTAACTTTGGAGATAAAACTCCACCCAGTTCCCCAGAAAGTTCAAACAGTGATTTCTCATATGTTCCCTGTGGAAGTACCTATTCTTCCCTCCTAAAAAGTCAATTATCAGGTAAAGAAGAATAATTTCTTTACTTTAGACTCTTTTCAAGAAGGTGACATAGCAATTTCCTAGTACATACAGTTCAAAGACATGTCTGGGCCAATGCTACAGAACATGCATTCACGTTTACAGGAACATTGTTCTAGACAAACACATACATGAGATGAATGCATCCAGGGAGACTAAGTAAATCAAGTTCACAAAACAAGACAGTGACATCCCCTTTCTAGAAATGAGATTACTTGATTATCAAATCAGTAGTGTGTCCATGGGCATCAACCATCTCATAAGGTATGAGTCATTTAAACCTTGAGAAGTTGTCACATAAAAGATAATTTAGCAATGGTGGAGTGCAGTGGGGTTGGGCCAGAAGTGTTGATAATAAACTTAGAACCTGTGAAAGATAAGGCCAGGAAGGAGAGGCAAGGAAGAGTGGGATATCATAACAGCAAATGACAACTGGGGGAAAGGCAGAAAGAAAGCCCAATATATTTAAATAAAGTTTTACCAATGTTATGATCATGCCAATTATTAATACTCATAGGGGATGCCTGGGTAAAACAAGATATGGATTCAAAATTTATTAGTCATGAAAACTCTCTATGAAATAGTCACCATTGTATTGGGTTTTGATAACCCGGCAGAGCAAAGAAAGAGAAAGAGATTCTTTAAGCTTAGGGTAGAGGGAAGTGCATAAGCAGGAACATGAGATGCCCTATATAAAATATGGCATTTTGTCCAGGCTATCGACAAACCAGACTTACATTTGGAGCTTGATCCAGTTTGTGTTCCCTAAAGTCCCTATGTTGGAAACTTAAATCCCAGTGCAGCAGTATTGAGAGATAGAACCTCAAAGAGATGATTAGACGGCAAGAGTTTTAGCATCGCTGTGGGAGTGGATCCGTTACTCTGAGAATGGGTTTGTTGTTAAAAATAAGTTCAGCACTCTCTCATGCTCTCACCTTTCCTCTTTCTCTCCCTTTCTCTCTTTCCCTGCTGCCTTCACAGGATGATGCAGCTAAGAGGCCATCACCACATGCAGGGCCCTTGACCTTGAATTTTCTAGTCCCCAGAACTTTAAGAAATACAAATAGATCTGTAGTCTCGAAAATTTCTGTTCTTTAAAAATTACTCATTCTCCAGTATTCTGTTACAGTAGCACAAAATGGGCTAGGATAGGTCCTGATCCAGAAAGCAGGAAAAGATGAATACTTCATATTTTCATAATGGTATATTCTTCCCCTCTATAATGTTCAAAATCTCATTCAACAAACTATATTCCAAGTGACCATACTACGTGCTGGTGATACAGAAGTTTACAAACAAAATAAAAATCCCTATCTTCATGAAGATTGTAGTGAGAAGATATTTACCTCTAAAATTTAGTGATCCAATGTATTTGTCAGGGGAGTATGTAATGAAAAGACAAACCTTGTGTTTTAGAGAAAAGATTCTTTACCTTCCTGTTCAATGTCACTGTGTAATACACACACACACACACACACACACACACACATGCATATATATGACATTGTGATAAATTCATTTTCTCAAAGGCTGGTAATAATAAGAACATGATGTTGAAATTTCTTTTCCTTATAACCATACTTAGAGGTGGGTGTGTAAGGACAACAGGTCACTCACCCTATACAATTAGAATATGGAGAAAGTTATGGCTCTTCTTAGCATTTATTATTTACAAGCAATCTTTTTTCTTATTTTTGGAAAGTTGAAGTAGCTTGCTTGTTGGCTTTGTGAAGCAGAGTGTTGGCTTTATTTTTTCTCTCTAATTCAGTTTTGGCCTTCAGAAGACAAACATCCTTCAGCTTTCATGTAAGCTCACTACTCTGCTTCTACCCTGTGTGCTTAAACAGCCTGGTTGATAAAATCCCTTTACGTATTTCCACTGCAGGTGGAAAGCATCTGATGTGAGAATGTTAACTTTTCTTCTTTTGCCGAACACTTGCAAACAGCAATATGTACTTACAGTATTAATTCCGCCTCAGAAATAGAGCGTGGCTTAAAACTGTAGGCATCCAACATTGAATTTTCAACATTTTTCATTTCCTATAGGTATTTTTATTCTAAAATATTCATAATCTGAACCTGATACAAAATTCTAACTGCGTAGGTCCCATAAGGAAAAATATGAAACTATGTATGAGAAAAACAGATTTTGGAACACCAAATCTGTCAGTAAGTGTTTATAAGTAAAAACTGAGACAAAATAGTACACAGATTAAAAATGCAGTTTTAGACCACAGTGAATTAGAGGTGCTTACGGATTCTTATGAGGCTTCTCTATACTTTTATATTCTTTTCATACTTCTGGTAGTTACGGCAAGTAAGGAAAAAAGCCTGCTGCTGAGTAGAGCCTAGTTTCAGGTCCTTGGCTTGGCATCTCCTGAAGTTCAGCCTAGGGTAATCTGTTCTTAGGAAAGCTTCAACTTAAATGT